TTGGGGATCATACTGCAAAGCAAAAAAAGGTTGCCTGAGTTGCAGGTTCAGTCCCTGGGCAGGGCATGTACAAGAGGCAATCAATTGATGGTTCTCACATCATGTTTCTCTCCGTTTCTTTCTCCTTCCCCTCCCCTCTCCCTAAAATAAATAAATAAGAAAGAAAGGAATGAACAAACAAACATAGGTACAGTGCTATTAATAAAACCCACCACTTCATTTTCATTAATTTTCTAATGTCCTTTTTTGTCACAGGATCCAATCCACAAATTAAAATAGAAAAAATTCCATCCTGAGTTATCATGGTTTTTGAGTATGTCACTTTCACTTTTTTTTTTATTGCTTCCTTAGGTATTACATGTGTGACTTGGCACAATCTGCAACATTTTATTATTTTGAAGTGCAGAACCATCACTGCCATTATGTCACTATTCACTGCACTCCCTCATTTGATTTATTTTTCAAAGATTTCATTTATTTACTTTTAGAGAGATACATGAGAGAAACATCAGTTGGCTGCCTCTTGTACACACCCCAAAAGGGGACCAGGCTGCAACCCAGGAATATACCTTGACCAGAAACTGAACCATGACCTTTCACTTTGTGTGATGATGACTAACCGAGCCACGCCAGTCAGGGAATACTCCCTCATTTTAAATGTAATTGCCCCAGGTACTTCCCCTATGTATGCTGAACACTACATCAGATGGTGTTATCATTTTTGTTGCACCTAGTAAGTAGGAATTAATAAACTTATGAGATAGTCCATTATGTTGACTCATTCCAATGTTGTTTTTTCCTTCCTGAAATATTAAGCCCCTTCTTTCCATAGCAGTTGCTTTTTTCAGAGAATATCCTTTGGCCATCTTTGATCAAACAGTCACTTGGGGTGTAGATGTAGACTGGATGGATGTGTTGGTAGGCCTGCCCCCACCCCAGCAGTGCTGATTCACACTGCCTCCTCGATAATGGGTGAGGGCAGTGCAGCTCCCTCTCAGCCCCTAACACTTCCTGCAGCCCTTTTCTTTCAGGTGGTATAAGCTCATTGTCCTAGGGGAGAAGAGGGTAATAAGGCAGCAAGTCAGCTACTAAATGGGCCTCATCACCATGCTCTGCTCCCCTGGTGCTGGTGGGAATGCTGATCAGCTCTTTATGCCACTTTGTTTAGTTTCACTGGTGCTGGGTGGGAAGCAGTGCTATAGGAGTGTGAACAGCCACCTCCATGCTCAACTCATTGAGGAGCCCCCCCTCCCCTATTAGAGTGGGGGAATTCTGTCCTAATCTCCTCTTCTTATAAGGATACCAGTCATGTTGGATTAGGGTTGACTCTAATGACCTAATTTTAACTTAATTTTCTTTTTAAAGGCTTTATTTCTGAATTTAGTCACATTCTGAGGTATCAGGGGTTAGGACTACAACACAGAAATTTTAAGAGGGCATAATTCAGCCCACAGTACCTCCCCACCTCCCTGGGCTATGAGGCAATTAGGTAGCTGAATGTAATTACATTTAACAAAGAGTTAATTAGCACATATTCTATTCCAAGGAATCAAAGCCAAGTTTTGAGGGACATTCTGGATTGACAGAATGATAAAGTGATGAGAATTAACCTTCCAGCATTATATAGGAAGAATGGAAGTGGGGACTGAAGGAGGCAGCTGTGTGGCAGACATCGCAGAATTCAATTAGAGTGCTGACAGAGGGAGAAGACAGCATGAACAAGTGATGTGGTAGGTATGGACATGCACTAGATATGGCTCTGGATGGAGGTATGACTGCATAAATGATCCTGTGTGTTCCCAGCATCAGCAGAGGGCCAAGCACAGAGTAGGTACAATCCTGTTGCTGAAGGAATATGAGTCTCATATTCGTCTCTTCTACTTGTATTGGGACTGTACTGTCAGCAAACAGGATATTCTTAGAAAATAATCTATCATCTGTTCTAATTAACTTTGCTACAATAACCCAGGAAATGTCACCTAATGGTCCCAGAAATATTGCATTTAATATTTGGTTGAATCAAACGGAAACCTACTTGTGTCTTGTGGAGTTTGAGGTTAACTGGAGAGTCGATGTGGAGGGCAATCACAAAGGCTTCATGGTGGTCTGAGCATCATTCGAGAACGACTGTGAGATTGGCTGCTTTGCCAGACTTACCAATACTTATTGCCTGGTGGCCATCGGAGGGTCAGAGAACCCTACACTGTGTTCGAGGGCAAGCTTGCCGAGACCATCCCAGTGGTGCATGCGTCCATTGCCAGCTGCCACATCATCGGGTGTATGTGTGTGGGGAACAGACATGGTCTGCTTGTACCCAGCAACACCACCGACTAGGAGCTGCAACATATTCAGAACTCCCTCCCAGACTCAGTGCAGATCTGGTGGGTAGATGAAAGGCTCTCAGCCCTGGGCAATGTCACCACCTGTAATGACTATGTAGCTTTTGTTCATGCAGACCTGGACAGGGAGACAGAAGAAATCCTGGCTGATGTACTCAAGGTGGAAGTCTTCAGACAGACAGTGGCTGAGCAGGTGTTAGTAGGAAGCTATTGTGTCCTCAGCAATCAGGGAGGGCTGGTACATCCCAAGACTTTAACTGAAGACCAGGATCAGCTGTCCTCTCTCCTTCAGGTCTACCTTGTGGCGGGCACTGTGAACCGAGGTAGTGAAGTAATTACTGCTGGGATGGTGGTGAATAACTGGTGTGCCTTCTGTGGCCAGGACACAACCAGAACAGAGCTTTCAGTGGTGGAGAGTGTCTTCAAGCTGAATGAATCCCAGCCTAGCACAACTGCTACCAGCATGTGGGATTCCCTCATTGACAGCCTAACCTGAATCACCTTCCTTGCTGTTTGGCAGGCTCCTGGATCTGAACTTTGGCTCTCTCTCACTGTCCCACACAGTCTGTCCCGGATGCTGGCAGAAGGGTGGCAGAGAGCTCACTGGTATCAAGTAGCTGGATGCCCAACTCTATTTCACCTGTGCCCATCTCTTGAATCTATAGTTGCCATAAAACTCTGCCATGTGCTGGTTGTCAGGCCCTATGGCTCTTGGCAGAGAGCTGTACTGTCCTGTGCCACCCAATTAAAGGTAGCTTCTTCTGTCCATTAAAAAAATATTTGGTTGAATCATATGCAATGGCTAGTATTTGGTCATTTCGACCTAAAGAAATGGCCATTCCACATGGTTCAACCTAATTCAATGTTTGAATCATTTGTTTACATTTTTTACTTTTAAAAAGAGAAAGAAAATGATCAAGCAATCCACTAAATCAAAGCCAACGAGTATTTGAAGACTGTGATCAAATGGTCACATAAGTAGGAATCGTTTCCAAAAACATAGCTACTTCTCCAAATAGGCAATCTTAAGAGTAAAATATCTTTTTTATTATAATCAAGAAAGCTGGGCAGCAAGAGCCTAATAGACTTCTGTTGTGATATAAGTTGCAGTGGATACATGAATCTTTATTTTCTGTGCAAAAGGGAGTATGATATGAAGGTCTTATTGTGATATTACTTTTAGTGACTACATGTTTTATTGGCTGGCTTGGAACGAAGGTTTATCACAGCTCCAGTAGTGAATGTCCCCATTGTGACTGCTTATAAATCAGTTTTATTGTCAGTGTCAGCTAATCAAGATCAGCTCCTGCTAAAAGCATGACTAAAAAAATAATACACTACTGCATAACAGGATTTATGGCACTTTTCTCCTGTCATTTTATCTGTACACAATGTTCAACCATCTAGAATAGAGAACTCCTTGACATAAGGTCCTAATCCTGGGCCACATTTACTAAAAAGCACCAAAGGGAATGTTGCTCTTGACTTGTGTTGAAAACATATCAACGCTTGCTAATTTGGGACAACAATGAGGATCTTATAAGTAAACTGTCACTTTTAATCAAGTCCCCAAATAATTTGAAGGATGTCAAAAATCAAGAACTTGAGGCATACATTTTGTCTATAACACACTGTTCCTGAAAAATTTTTTCAGACATCTAAAGAATAGCCTGAAACAGCACTGAAGTGTATGAGTAAGCATTTTCCATTTAAGAGAAAACAGAAAAACTGTATTATAACATATGGCTACTTAATGGAACCCAAAGTGATGAAAGCACATACTCCTTCTCAGATAATACTGGGAAGCTGGTTGAAGATATGACTAAATCGATCAGCACAATACTTCTGAGTTATGCAAATACACAAAGCAATCTCTGAACCAGCAGTACCTTATCTCAAAGAACATCAGCAAATGTTAAAAAGATAGAAAAAAACAAGGCAAGAAATCATCCACTTCCTCTGTGTGATATGCTAGAAATGTTATGAGTAACACAGCCAGTTCAGTCTTTTCCAGAGGACCAAAAACTTGGTCCATTTTCATAGCATTTACAGACAAAATGATGCTCTGTAATACCATCATGGAGTCTAGTGCTAAGAGAGCCTCAAGGTTCCTGATGGGGGGCTCCATGCTGGGCAGCTCTACCTGGTTAGGAGCTCCATAGGTCGGTGACTTCAGGTGAGAGGAGAGCATGGTTCAGAATTAGTCAGACTGGGATTCCGCCCTCAGTCAATTATGAATAATACTTCTCTCTCAGTCTGGTAAGATAAATAAGCCTCTCTAAGGTAGTTTTTGTGCGTGCTCTTAGCCCTTCCCACTTACGTTGAGCTGAATTTTGCAAGCCTATAACTTCTTCCTATAGGTAGATTTCTATTCTTTGGCCAGGAAAGACCTAGTCATCCATTCGAATATAGAAAGTTTGGAATCCTGTCAGCCTTGAGTTTTTCCTCACCCATTCCTCTTAGAATTCTTCAATGCTAGTTCCCCAATTCACTTGGTCATTCTGAACCAACAGTGCTGGGACTGCCTAGGGCTTGGCCACTTGACTATTCAACCTAAACTCAGCCTCTCCATCAGGATAATCTAACCACAAACTGCATCCTTATCATCAGGATGTGCACAACTCTCCAACTAAAGAAGTACAAGATGAGGTTTAGGTTGTCTTTTTCACTTTTATTCAAATAAATACAATAATTATAGACAGCTTAATTAATTCTCCCACCAACTTTCCTTTTACGTTGGTGCACTTAAGATTTTAGATGTGTACTGCCATGGTCGCATTGTGGCTGTGTAGGGTCTACCCTTTACTTTGAAACGATTCCTTCAGACTCACAGGCCAATAGCTCTCATCAAATGAGTCATGGTGCTACTTGCCCATATGAGACCAAATGAGAAGAGAACAGACACCTTTTTGGGCAAAACGCATTTTTATAAGGTACCTTTGGATAAAATGTAATTATTTTCTCCCCTACTTATCCAGACCAGGCACTCCAAAATGAGAAATATCAGCAATGGGCAACCCAGTTCATTAAAAACATTGGATTTGATATCCTAAGAAAATTCAAACAATGTGAAAGAAAATGGCATTTAGTGTTTGCCACCAGAGTTACTAAGACTAATAATAAAATTTTTTTAATGTGCTAGAGCTTGATTCACAAATGCAGAGATTAGAGAAACTTCATTTGTTACAAATTAACTTTCCCTGATATTCTGTCTTTATGATTAAGTAGTAACTTCTTCAGTTTGAAATTGGTTTGATTAATATCACCTTTATTGGGAAATACTTCAATCCTCTCTGGCTTGGCCTATGGTACCCCACATGTTTATCTGAATAATAGTTGTGGCTTCAATAGCTGACTGATAGTTTTGTTCTACAAGGAACTAGTTTAGACAGTTACTTTTTCTTATCTAAAGCCAGTAAAGTGAATGTGACCTAAGTGGGTTAAATTCATTTTATTTTCATTTTAAAAAATCTTACCTGTCCTAGTCAAAAGGCAGTCAAAGGCAACTGGGTCTATGGAATGGCAGACTGGGAAGCATGGGCCAGATCTCACACTATCACACTATCAGCACGGACAGACATGGCTCTGGGGAGCAGAAACAGCACCTGGAGAGAGCAGGGCTGCAGTGCCCACGCCATGAGACAGGCCTTCCCATGGAGTCTTGCTTCAGAGAGTGCCCCACAGTGACCACAGTGCCCACAGCTGATCCCAATTCCTTTGTAAAGATGTGATTTGGCTCAGCAGCAGCCCAAGGGGGTGAGAATAAGGCCTAATGTGTGAGAGTCACTCCTGCCTCCTGTGACATCAGAGGTTGGCAAAGTCATCTAAAAGCCTGAGCAAGTCTACTTTCTAGAAGTAAAAAATCCCAACCATCTCACAGTCATTCTTTTAATGTAAAACTAAACCACCCTGAAAAATAATACACTTTGAAACCCTCTGCCACATTTATAAAAAACATTCAAACAATTTTAAAAAAATCCTTTAAAAATGTTATATCAATAGCCTTCTTATTAATAAATATAAAACACTAGGTTTAAGACACTTGGTGACTTCCTTACATCATGCATCAGGGATGGATAAACAGTGAGGTTTTATCACTGACATCTATTTGGTAAAAACTCTAGAAAGAGTTGTGTTAATAAGATAATTGTTTTGGAAATAAGAGTTACAACTTTTTCAAAATGTCGAAAAGAATAAGGATGTAAACACTACATATTTAAAATATTAATACAACAATATTAATTCGGTAAAATAAATAAAAGAAAGTGGCACCAACTTTATGGCAATTTTTAACACAAAAATTATGTGACATTTATGACATTTGACATTTTAAAAGAAATAGTTGCTCCAAACAGAAATGGTCATTCTTAGCACAAACCAAGAGCATCTGAAATAAAGTGCCAGGAGACAACACAGCACCATACTTTAACTTGTTCACCTATGAACAGAAATGCCATCTTGATCTTCTGGTCCAAAATATGCGCCATGAGGGGAAAGTCAGCTTCACTAAACATGAGGCTTAGGGCTGTCTTTTGTCCTTTTTCTTTTTTCTTCCAGTGTGTGCTTAAATATTTTCTTTAGGGTATTGTAAACTATTGGTCCATTTTCAGAATCAAAATTAACCTGGTGACAAAGAAAATTTATTTTCAGGATACTAACAGGAATTTGAACTGATCTATTTTGGGAGAAAAGATATACGGTGGAAAAATAGAACTAATATTTATATACAAAATTATATATAAATATCAAAGTATACACATTTCACACATTAATTTTAATTGAAAGACTATATTAGAATTGCCAATTATATTAAGTGCCAACTATATCAATGAAAAAACAAAGAATTAAATTGAGTGCTTGGATACATAATATACTCACTCCCTGTCAGGAAACAAGTCAACAGTGAGTACGAAGTGAGTTTCAAATCCAGAGACTGATCACTGATGATACAAGGAAAAGGTCTCTTCACAAAAACAATGTGCACTAGCTGTCAGTGTTGCACTGGGGCAACCTGAACAGGAGCCTGCCTCTCCACCTGCTACCCATGCAATCTCGGGTCATATCTGACCTCTCTGTAAAAAGGAAAGCACAATTCCCATCTCTTTAGGGTTCTGTGAGTATTAAATATGAGAGCCTGATGTGTGTGTGACACATGTAAAAACCTACATAGCAGTTTCCTATCCCCTTTGTGGGAAGGCACCATGTACACATATGTGGGCTGTCTGCCCAAGTTTATCACACTGCAAGATTAGGAGTGATGATGGACAGAGAACCAGAGCATGCCTTCACCCCAATCCCAAAGAAACGTGTGACTCCTCAGGACAGGGTCAGATCTTGGCCAGTGATTCCTTCCTCCTGCAACTATAGGGAGGGCTATCCCCTTGTGAAGGGCTGGGAAGGGTGTGGGATTTCACTTGGTTCACAAGCCAACAAGCTCATTTGCCAGCTTGAGGTCACTGGCAGGAGACACTAGACTGCTAGGTCAGAGAAAAACAACCTTCTAACTTGAACAACATAATCACAGGTGGAGGCTGCACAAGCAGGGTGTTTGCATCATGGCTGATGATCTCAAGGTAGGGGCAGCAGCAAGCCTGCTAAACTCTGGCCTGAAGGGAGACATTCTCTTTACTACATAGGAAGCAGATACCACACAGGATTCCTTAAAGAGCCCAGGATTTTTGGAGACCAATATTAAGGATTTTTTTTCAGTTATTTCAGATATTTTTATCTTAACCATTATATTTTCTATCCTATTTGCAGAAGCTTCTTATCAACATTAACATGTCTTGTCTATTTACTTTGTTAAACACCAAACCACAACCCTCTCCACAAAGCAAGTAGCCTCTTGGGCTATGAAGGTCTATGAAAATGTAATAAAATAAAGACTTAAAGGACCACATGATTGGGGTTTGCACTGCTGAATCTGGAAACTTAGTACCGTAAAGCTCCAGATGAGGAACAAGAAAGCCTGCCAGAATAATATCACTTAGGAAGGAATGGAGGGAGAGGAGACTGATGAATGAGTTCAGATAACTGCTATCATCATTAATCTTTACCACAGATATTATCATTGAAAAGCTGGGTTCTTTGTTAAATGACATTTTCATAAGCAAGAGAGGTACCAATAAATTAGCTGAGTGGGTGAGAGGAACCTCTTCACCTGGCAGGGACCTGGTTCTTTTCTTCAGCCAGGAAGACTTGCTGTAAGCCAAAATGATGTGCAGAGAAAGGAATTTTTTTTTAAATTTTTTTTTTAGTCTTTGCTAAGGATTTGCTGACCAGGACATACTACCAAATCATCAATGCTGGATGCCGAATTCTCACTAGATGATGTCTTGTGTAGACCCAAAGTAGAACTGGCTCAACAAGATTCTCTGACTCCTACTAGCACATCATTTAAAAATACTTTCTCAATACCCAATTGTTTCTCTCTTTATAAATGTTCTTTGTTCAAATGTTCTCTTCCAATAAAATCTCACAGGTCAGCTTTTTTATAATACCACTGTTAGAAAGCTGGTATTTTTTGGCCAAAGCCTACAACTACTTTCAAGAAATGTCAAACACACTTCCATTAAGAGGAAACATAGCTAAAAGTTTTATTTTAGAGGCAGCTGGTGACCTCTGGATTCTAATTTGCAAAGATCATGCTGCTTGTGGTCTGAAGGGGGAAGGGACAGTGCCACTCACCTTAGTGAAAGCTTTAATAGCACGAGCAAGAACAGCTTCTTCCACATCCACAGGAATCGTCTGCAGGCTCACTATGCAGTGTAATACGCAAAGAATAGTCTGGTGCTGGCCCTATTTTTGCAGAAATCAAATCAAAACAAAACAAGTTTTGTTTTTTCTTTTGAAAAATACCTCAAGAAATAAACTCAAAGCAAAGGCAAAGCCAGGAACTGGTTTATGATCAAATACTCAAAACTTCTAATACCACACTTATCTACCAAGGACTCTACCAATGTTTACTGTTATGTGTTTGAAAACTTTCAGGAGAGAAAATCAAAGTTGATTATTTATTACATGAAGCACAATTTCAAATGAAATGTCTTCCTTGAGGTGAACTGAAGGGATGATCCATTCTTGTTTCTGGACACAATCATTTCAATTGGGCTGGTGTATGCTGATGTGTCACAGAAACCATGGATTTTCATGCCCTGCCCCCTGCAGATTCTATGGAGGGAGGAGAGGTGGAAGAAGAGACAGAACAGCACTCTAGTCCTTCAGGAGCATGCCAGAACTCTAGGGAGACAGTCTTTGATAAACGAGTCTGACTTGATTCCTGGGGCTGCTCACACTGGAGAAACAGAGGAACCCCACCATTGGACCACATTGTCCCTTAAGGGTCACTGACTTCACCCTGGACATCTACTCAAAGAGCATAATCTGAAATACAGAAATACCTGATCATATCGGTGATGCTTACAAAAGTAAAAACCTGGAAATAACGTCAATGCACTACACATGGGGTTGGAGCGAGTGATGATGGAATCACATGATGTGACAAAAGGTACAGAGATTTGTGCCAGAGCTTTTGGAGTTTGAATTCTGCTGTAACACAGGCTATGTACCTTAGGTGGGTTACTTCACCTTCCCTTTTAAGTAAAACAGGTTCTCTACCTTCCCAGACTATGGGGATAAAAGAAAGTGAAAATGGACATTACATTGTAACAAGGGCCCAGCCTGCCATCATCCAAGAAGGGTAACTGCCTCTCTTATCCCCTCTCTAGATTCATCTCTATAATTTAACTGCTGAGAAACAGCCTAAGAGAAGAACTCCCAATGCAAGAAAAATTTTATCTTTAAAGATGTGCATCACACTACTGTACATCTGCTTGTCTGTGTGTGCATTAGCAGTAGATGTGCAAACGAGGCACTGCAACACAGAATGTAGCTCAAGGTTCCTTAGGAGACAACACTGCTTCCTGAAACAAAATGTATTTTTAAATGAAAATTTAATACCTCAATATGGTTAAAAATATTAAATTGTACAAAAGGAGCTATTAGTATCAGTCCCTCCTTTCCTAGAACCATTGTCTTCCTTAAGGCAACCACCATTATTTATCAGTTTCTTGTTTTTCCTTCTATAGTCTTCTATATTTTATATATGTACTACGTAACTATGTATGTGACACACTCCTCTTTCAAAGAAAGTACAAATGAGTGTATATTCCAACCTACCGCACAGCACTTCACATTACATGCTACTCATGGTAAATAAGTAGAAATATATACTTGAAAGTGAAAGTGGTTAATTATGACATTCCTTCATGTTAGAATATTTACCTGTCCTTCAAAGTTAATATTTATGAAAAACTTACACTAAACATGGTAATTACCTATGTTATAATTGTGATCAAAAATGAAGAATAAAGTTGTATGTGAAATGATTTTACCAAGAACTGTATGCAATGTTAAGACTGAAAGACTTGAAAATGTTTCAAAGTGGCTCTCCTGGGATTATGGGCATTTCCCTTTTTATTTTTTATTTTCTAAATGTTTATTCTGGGTATTTCTTCTCTGGATTATGGGCATTTCTCTTTTTATTTATTATTTATTTTTTAAAAAATAGATTTATTTATTTTTAGAGAGAGGGGAAAGGAGGGAGAAAGAGAGAAACATCAATGTGTGGTTGCCTCTCATAGGCCCCCAATAGGGGACCTAGACCTACAACCCAGGCATGTACCCTGACTAGGAATTGAACCAGTGACCCTTTGGTTTGCAATCCATTGAGCCACACCAGCCAGGGCTCCCTTTTTATTTTCTAAATGTTTATACTGAGTATTTCTTCTTTTATCATGAAAAACTTAAATTAGACCCAGATATGGGATTCCATATGAATTCCCTTTTTATAATTTTTTTAAGTTTGTGAAACCTATACAGTTAATGTCATAAACTGGTCCAACAGCTAATTTACCTTCTCTAATAAAAACAGAGCTTCTGCAGTATCTGCATGCCTGTCAACCAACATGTTCATGTCCTCTTGGGTTATCACAGGCTCCTTCAGCTGCTCCACCCATGACCACATCAAACTGCACAGGATGAAAGGATCCTTTTCACCACATATTCTTTCCCAAGCTCCGTTTCGGGAATTCAGTTCTTTCTAAAAAGAAAGGAAGAGGGAGAAAGAGGGAGGAGAGAGAAAGATGAAGGGAGGAGGAAGGGAGGGGGAAGGGAGCAAGACACCATTTGGTATCTGAAGATCCTCAGGCTGTCTAGGAGAAAAGTCTTAGGCTCTGGGTATGGACTGGGACCCTTCCCAGGATCCCCACTTCCAGGAGGCACATTGGATTGAGATATAGAACTTTTATAAGTCTGTCTTCCTTCTACTAAGTGTACCTGTACCCCACAGGTATTGATGACTGAGGTCTGCTAAAGCTCCTAGTGCAAAGAAGGCCTTAGTTAACCTAGTTCTTCACTTCACTCAGAAACCACAGAACAGTTCAGGAAGGGAGTCTGCTTTTTCAGTTGCTGGTAAGCAAAACAGAAATATTTACTGCAATGAAGTAGAATGGTAGATTGAAAATCCTAAGTAAGAGAACATTTGCAAATTAACCTGAAATAAGGGAAAGCTTCTGACTGAAACTTCAAAGTGCACCCCCCAAAGGTGCCTGAAATTGGTAAGTGAAGTATATGTGCTACTTTCAAATTTCTTTTTAGAATACTATGTAGAATTTAACAAATAAAACCTGTACCTGGAAATTTGATAAGAGTGAAAACAACTAGTAAATCTAGCCACTACTCCAAGTACCTAGAGATAATTTAGACAAGCGATTTTAAAACTTTACCTCACAGGGTAGGGGAAAAGTGAGGTAAGAATTTTAATTTCTGACAGCACATTTAATTTTAGATTTTTATTTTAGTAAATAAAATGTTTGCAACAATAAGCACAGTAATTGCTACCATTCATTCCTTCGCCCATTCCAATATTTGTAGAAGTTACCATATGACAGAAATGATAATACATGACTTACCTCTGATTCTACAGCAACCCATCAATGAGGCTCTTCTACAGACAAATGTACGGGGTGGCTCAGGAAAGATGAAATAACTTGCCCAGGAGCCCAAATTGAGAAACAGGCATTCCCACCCAGGTCTATTCCATCCTAGTCTGTGATATTCCTGCCATGACACTCTGGCACTAGGGTTCTCTTTATCATCTCATAAATAAGCCAGTACTTTGAGAAGACAAGTTGGACAGAAATGACAAGCTCAAAGACCCTCTTAGTAAATGACTGTTATATCGATGTTTTCTGAAATCTTCAATGGATTTAGGAAAAGACATAAAAATGATTAAAATTATTAAACACATGAGCTGTATCCTGGCTCTGCTGCATTTGGACCATACGACTGCAAGCATGTCACTTGACACCTGTGACCCTTAGTTTCCCCATCGGTGATACTTAATTTATAAGGACTGCACAGATTAACAAAGGATCTGTAAATACTATCATCTGCCTTAAAGGATTACTGTGAAAATCACATGACATAAAAGACAAGAAAGGGCCTAGTATAGGCGCAGGTGACATTGTGCTATGTAAATCATGTTCATTTTACTTTTTTAAAAAATAACTTTTTAGGTTTTTAATTCTACTGCACAGTATTATATTAGTTTCAGGTGTACAACCCAGTGGTTAGACATTTATATAACTAACAAAGTGACCACCCTGATAAGTCTAGTACCCATCTGACACTGTACACAGTTGTTACAATATTGATTATACTCCTTGTGTTATATTTTACATCCCCATGACTATTCTGTAATTGCCACATTTTACTTAATCCCTTCACCTTTTTACCCAGTCCCCTGATTTTCCTCCCCTCTGGCAACCATCAAAATGTCCCTGTCTCTACCAGGGGGACCCCCACAGAAAAACACCCAGAATTATTTTCTGGAGGGCAGACACCTTGAAGTACAGGCTTTCCCCCACTAGGTGAGTGTTCTTGGAACCCATTTGTATCAGTGTGCCAGAGGCTACATTCAGCTTCAGTAAACTTTTGTTTGAAGTCTCTTTGTTAGCGCATTTCATGATGGGTGATTTACAAGCACACCTGCCCACACCACACTGAGTATTCAGGAATTTTTGACCATATATGGCATGACCCCTGTGCTCCATCCTCCCTATTCACATGATCTTGCCCTGAGTGACTATTTTTTTCTCCGATGACACAGTTCTCAAAGAAAAACATTTTTCCAATGTGGAAGAGGTGAAACAAAAAACAGCAGGAGCACTTAAAGGTATCAAAACTGAAGGGTTGCACAACTGTTTTGAGTGGTGGGAAAAAAGTCTCAATAGATGTATTACATCAAATGGACAGTACATTGAAGGTGACTAAAGTTTAACCATGCAAGAATAAATATACAATTTTATAAATAAATTCCATTTTGGGGGGTTCCCCCTTGTATGAGTCTGTTTCTATTCTACTTATTTATTTTTTAAAGATTTTTTTTACTTATAGAGAGTGGGGAAGAGAGGGAGAGAAACATCGATGAGAGAAACATTGATTGGTTGCTTCTCGCACACCCCGAGTGGGAACTGGGCCTGGAGCCCAGGAATGTGCCCTGACTGAGAATCGAACCAGCAACCTTTTACTCACTGGGTGCACAACCAACTGAGCAACACCAGCTAGGGCCATTTATTTTGTTTTTTGATTCCACATGTAAGTGAAATCATCTGACATCTGTCTTTGCGTGAGTTATTTCACTCAGCAAAACCACCTTTACATCCATCCATGTTGTTGTAGATAGTAGGATTTCATTCTTTTTTGTGGCTGAGTCATAATTCATTGTATAGTTGCACCACTTCTTTATGCATTCATTAGTGGTGAACACTTAGTTTGTTTCCATATCTTGTCTATTGTAAATAATGCTGCAATGAATATATGAATATATGCCTTTTCAATTTAGTGTTTTGGGTTTCTTTGTATAAATACTTGTAAGTAGAGTTACTGAGTCCTTCCTTGTCTCTTCTTATAGCCTTTATTTTAAAGTCTATTTTTCTGGTATAAGTATTGCTACCCCAACTTTTGTTTTTTTTTTCATTTCCATTTTCATGAAACACCTTTCTCTATCCCTTTACTTTCAGTGTATGTCTGGCTTTCAGTCTGAAGTGAGTCTCCCATGGACAGCATATGTAAGGGTCTTGTATTATTATCCATTCAGCCCCCTGATGTCTCTTCACTGAAGCACTTAAATCATTTACATTTAAAGTAATTGATAGACATGTATTTATTGCCATTTTATTATTCATATTTATTATCTTTTTCTTCTTCTTAAAAAAGACCCTTTAACATCTTATAATACTGGTTTGGTGGTGATGAACTCCTTTAGCTTTTTCTTCACTGGGAAACTTTTTATCTGTCCTTCAATTCTAAATGATAGCTTTGCTGGGTACAGTAATCTTGGTTGTAGGTCCTTGCTTTTCATTACTTTGAATATTTCCTGCCAATCCCTTTTTGCCTCAAAAGTTTCTGTTGAGAAATTAGCTGACAGTCTAATAGGAACTCCCTTGTCAGTAATTAAATGATTTTCTCTTGCTGTTTTTAAGATTCTCTTTGTCTTTAACCTTTAGCATTTTATTTATTTTTGTTTTACAGTAGTTTTATTTATAATTGCAAAAACTTGGAAGCAACCAAGTTGTATTTCAGTAGGTGAACGGATAAACTGTGGTATTGGTTTGGCCAAAATCCTTTTTTTTTTCATAAAATAAAAGACATTTTTCATTTTCACCAATAACTTTATTGATCTGGATATTCTGAGTATTTCAGCTATTTCCCATGTGTTATAACATTGACTGTTCTCTTCTCTTGATTTGATCACTAATCAGTATCAACTTCAACATGTCTACCTGACTCTGGAGCATGTCCAGTGAGAAATTTTCAGCATGAAACTTTGCAAGCCACTTTTGACACATTCAATCAGTCACAGTACCTTCTCCATACACTGTACAAATTTTTGTGCTTCAGTTGCATTTTTATCTTTCTTGAAATATCAAAGCATAACATGTCAAAAATGTGTATTTTCTTCCATCTTCAGTATTAAAATGGCTACACAAAAATTCTCCAATTTTGATAGTTCAAAAAAAAAAACACTACATGTTGATATGACAGCTGCCACAGTACAATCTAACAAAACTGTTTTGAATAAAGTTAAAGACAACTCAGTGCTACTAGAACTATCTTATAGAAAAAAAACAAACTTTTTGGACAACCTGATATATTCAGACAATAGCATGTTATTCAGCACTTAAAAACTCATGAAAAGACATGGAGGAACCTCACATATGCCTTGCTAAATGAAAGAAGCCAATCTAAAATACCAACATACTGTATTATCCCAACTATATGACATTCTCGAAAAGGCAAAACTATGGAGACAATAAAAAAATCAATGGTTGCCAGAAGTTGGGAGCACAGAAGATTTTTAGGGGAGTGAAGGCCTTCCATATAATACAAAAGATGGGTACATGTCATTATGCATCTGCTTAATGTACAATAAACAAGTGAATCATATATAACTATGAATCTTGGGTAACATATCAACATACCAAAGTTTATATTTTACACCACAATTTATCAATTTTAACAAATATACCACTCTGGTAAGGGATGTTGATTATGAGGAAACTGTATGTTTGTATGGGGGCACAGGCATATGGGAACTCTGTATGTATGCTCAATTTTGCTATGAACCCAAAACTGCTGTAAAAATGAAGTCTATTTTTAAAATGTTGTCTAATGTTAGTGCTGTAAAGTTGTTTTTTAAAAGTCAGTTATAAAATAACCAGTAAGAGTTAATGATTGTCTTTCTGATTGTCCAATAATGAATGTTGAAACAATGAATATATTGAAAACAAAAATGACACAGCACTTTGGTGACGCCCAACAGAATAAACTTGACTGGCTAAATAAAGTGGTTGCTTTGTCATCCTCATTTTCAAATGCTTTTGCACCATAATATTATTGGCAGAGGTGAGAGCAGAAAAGAGCTATAGACGAAAATAAACCAGTGTGATGAAAGAAATGTCACAGGAACATGAAGCAAAAGTAAAAAAAAAAAAGGCACATATAATATAGAGGACGTGAATGGGATGTGTTAACAAGTCAGAATGAATGCAGAATAACTTGACAACATAATGAACAAAGCATTCACATTTCCCCAATTAATAAATGGTTCTATTAACTTTCTCTGATGACACACACACACACACACACACACACACACACACACACACACACACACATATATTTTACCCTCATGCAAGTATATACTTACTGACTTTTACAGAGAGTGGAAGGGAGAGAAAATTAGAGGAAGAGAAATATCAATTGGTTGCCTCTCATACACACCCTGACCAGAGACTGGACCTGCAACCTGGGCATGTGCCCTGACCGGGAATCAAACCTGCCACCTTTTGGTTTATGGGACAATGCTCTGAGGCCAGGGAAGATGATACATATTTTTAAGAGTCAAAGGTGTAATGAGAAAAAGCTGGACATAATAATTGAGAAAATGCTAGGTGATTTTTTTCACATAAATATGGCAGCTTAGTAAACAATGTTCAAAAATGCTTTTTAAGAAATAAAAACAAACAAATCTTAGCTAAAAACAGTAAAAAAAAGAATTATGTAGATAATTAAATGTTTAGTAGTTGTCAGTCACTGGGGACATTTTGCCTTCCAAGTACAATTCTAAAAAGCGTAGGTAAGCCACAGGTACAAACACATCAGCTGAATGTATGACTACTTCTCATGAATCTATAATTATTTTCTTCTTAAATAGAGAACAATCCAAAGTGAATGTTTCATACTCTTCACCATCTCCACAAACATGAACTCTGTATTTCTCAGAAAGCTCTAAGAGATACGGCTCCATTTGATCCAGGGTTTTTCCAACATGCTTAACTAGCTCTAAATTCAAAGCTGCTACTTTGATGATGATTGCCTGAATGTTATCATCTCTTGGAACAAGTCTTGGTTTCTTGGTCAAAGGTAAGTTGAAAGCTGAAGATTAAGCCTTTTATATACATTTTCAACTCCAACACACTGATAATAAAAAAGTATAGAACCTACTGATATTCCTTCCACTTTTTCTTTTTCTTTAACAAGTTTCAAAAGGTCAGAGACCTTTAACCTTATCACCTTCACATTTGTCCTGTATCCACACACCTTCCTCTTATGGTAAAGCAACAGAGGGGAAGAGCCACTGCATACAAATCAACGGCATGATGACCTACTGTCTGATACATGTAGCTATCCAGTTCATTTGACTGCACTTGATTTTCAGCTGGCCTAAGATTTGCTAAACCAACAATCTGATGCCTGGCATGATCAGTGGTGGGAAGGACAGCTGTTACATTATGATGCAGTGCATTCCTGCCAGGCAACAGCTGTCCTGCCCACCACTGATCAGAGCTGCAACTTTCATGCTGGGTACATTGCACATGTGCGGCAGACCTACCATCAGAATTTTAATAATGATGCATCTTGGTATGGGCCTCTTTAGGTTCATCATGGTTGGGACTCTCTGTACTTCCTGGACATGTATTTCCTTCCTGGAAATGATGATGGGGAAGTTTTCCATCATCATTTTTTCAGACATGTTCTCAGCACCTTGTTCTTTCTCTTTTCTTCCTGGTACCCCCATTATGTGAACGGTGATATGCTTGAAGTTGTCCCAGAGGCTTCTTCTAGTATCCTCATTTGTTTTTATTCTTTTTGTTGTTCTGATTGGGTGTTTTCTGCTTCCTTAGCATCCAAATCACTGGTTTGATCTTCTGCTTCATGTACTCTACCACTGATTCCATATATTTTTCATTTCAATTATTGTATTCTTCACTTCCGACTGGTTCTTTTGTTTTCTATCTCCATTTTTATGCTTATCTTTGTTGAAGTTCTCACTGAGATCACTGAGCATCCTCATAACCAGTGTTTTGAACTGTGCATCTGATAGATGGTTTGTCTCCATTTTGTTTTGTTCTTTTTCTCAAGTTTTATTTTATTCTTTCATTTGGGACATGTTCCATTTGGGACAAGTCTCCTCATTTTGGCTGTCTCCCTGTATTTGTTTCTATGTATTAGGTAGAGCTGCTATGTTTCCTGGTCTTGGTAGAGTGGCCTTATATAGTAGGTGTTTTAAGGGACCCAATGGCACAGCCTCCCGTCACCTTATCTGGGTATTTCAGGTGTGTCCACTACTTGGACTGTGTGCACCCTCTTGTTATTGTTGAGCTTTGATTGCTGTTGGTACATCAGTGGGTAGATTTTTCCCCAGACATTCTGGCCATGACGACTCAGGAGGACCTGCCCCATAGAGCGGGACTGGCTTCAGTGGGGCTCTGGTGCCCATTAAAGTCCACCCCTTGAGTGTGTTGCTTGTGGAGGTGGTTTGGTGGTGCTTTGGCATGGTCTGAAGCTGTTTACCAGGTACACTGATTCTGGGCCCTCCCAAGAGGTGCAGGCCAAGGTCAGCTGCTTCCTGTGCTCTGCCTGGGCCACTGGGAAAGTGCTTCAAAGTGATCTTCAGATAGATGCTACTTGTACTGGGCTTGGAGATGGTTGGGAGAGGCCAAGCTGCCTACCAAGTCCGGCTGCTGACAGTGCCAGGCCAGGGTGGGGGCCACTTAGCAAGAGGTATGAGGCATGCCAAGACAAGATGCTGCTTGTTTGAGATTTTAGAAAAGTCTGCAGCACGAATCAAAACAGACCATTAGTATGGAAAAGACACTGGGAATGGTTGAGTGGACCTGGAAGTTGGGTGAAACAGGGTCTCAGGAGATAACCAGGGAAGGGCGAACTGTGTTAGCCAGGTTGATGGAGACTCAGATATGGTGCCCACCTGCAGGCTCTGCAGGGAGAAGTCAGCAAAGAAAATATGGCCTCTGCTAGTACTTCTGTCTGGAAGAAAACTTCCCCACCTTTGCTGGACAATTTAGTTCCTCTCTGTATGTCCCTAATGCATTTTGAGCTGCTGTGAGTCTGAGTAAGTCTGTGCGTGGGCACTTTCAGAGGAATACCCGGGATTCCAGAAGCCCTCCATCTCACTTAGCCACCATACCCACTAGTTTTCCCAGCCAGAAGTTATAGGGACTTTTCTGGACTGAAAGCTTCGGCAGGGAGAACCTGCTGTGGGTCTGGGACCCCTCACTTCCCAAGGGGCCCTCCACAGTGGAGATATCCCTCCTTATTTTTAACCACTACACTGTGGGTATGGGACCAGGCTGTTCTGAGTTCTGCCCCTACTACTGGTCTCTACATGGCTTCTTCTTTATATCTTTAGTTATAGGACTTTTATTCAGCAAGGTTTCAGGCAGTTTTGAATGATGGTTGTTTTGTAGTTTAGTTGTAATTTTGATGTAATTGTGGGAGGACATGATTACCTTCCACCATCTTAACCTGAAGCCTCATTCTACTCTTTCCAGAATTCAACTAATTTGTTTTTATTACTGAAAGGCTCATAAAAAAATCTAGAAAAGAAATAAAGGGCAAATCTTTCCAAACAAAAGGTTGTGTGCTGTGTTCACCTCTAGAAATGCTTTCATATGTTGTATGTTGAAACAATTTGGCTCATGTACTGCACTGAGTAGTATGCACACAAGTGGGGCTAACCCTCAAGAAGACATGAGCTGTCACACACAAAGCCAAAGGATCTACTGCAAGCTATCGTGACACACAGTGATGCAGCAGAAAGATCTGCCAACTGACTAGAAGGCTTGTTAATTTACAAGTAGGAAATAAAGAACACACTTCATGTTGAAAAAATAATACATTTAACTATTTGTTCAGCAAAACACAATTCTGATGGAGAAAGTGTGTAAAGTGCTCTCCTCCCCAATTACAAGTGGGTGCGAGGCTCCATGCCTGTTTTACCACCTCCGCATCTGGAAGGTCCTGGTCCTCTTTGAAAGTATACCCACCTTGCTTAATTAATGGCAGAATACAGAAAAGCAGCTATACAAATAACTTGTAGTAGATTATGGACTAACAAGTCAAGATTTCACTGTCCCACATTTGGGCAGTTTACCTATTTTTGATAACTAAGTTTATAAGGCCTGCCTTTTCTCTAGTTCAGCTGACCATTCAGGGCAGAGTATTGCTGATTTAAGACTATAACCCTCTTCTGTGTTGGAAGTTCAACACAAAAAAGGATGAACATTTAAAATTTTACATTCTAATTTAAATAAAAGCCAAGAAATAGACCCCAAAGACCTAATCTCAGCACACAGATACTCTGTAGTCACTCCCATTTGACTTCCAGCTATGGCAGCTGCCTCACTGGGGCAGGACTGGGGAGTATACAAGAGGGAATGTGAGCAGACAGCATTGGTCATGCTTCCTCCCGACCTCACTCAATACTTGTGCAGATGATCTCTGAAAAAGAATTTGCTCTGATTTCATGCATGAGTCAGTGGTTCTCAAAATGTGGTTCCCTGCTAGGCCTTGGGTTGACCTTGAAATCCTTCAGGTCAGGTTTAAGTTGTTTGCTATGGCCTGTCCATCTGTCTGTCAGTGTATCTCACAAACCCAGCAAGAAAAAAGGATGCTACTGATATCAATCATATCCATGCTTTTTACTCAAGCACCCTGCAAAGTGCTAAGAGCTTTCTTTCAGAGGAGACTGAAGCAAGCCTGCACAACAGCCTGCGTCTGTCATTTCTATGTCATCAGGCTCCTGTTATAGCTGAGAAACCTGAAGTTCAAAAGTATACCAACAGGTCTTCAAATTCCTACAACAAAAGAATTTGGGAAAATGCATGATTTTTTTGCACTGATATAAGTATTTCCCAAGCATATGTAATTAAATGAAATTCAAATACCTGCCACATTTCTACCTTCCTTTTCACTTCCTCCTTTTCTGCAAACTCACTTAAGTTTGCCAGGGCTTTGGCTGCCAGTATTCTCCTTTTTTCAACACTCGATTCAGACTGCAGGGCAGTGTGTGGAGCAACTTCAGGCGCGTCTTTGCTGTTTTGGGTTTTAGGTCCAATTGATGACTGCGAGGATTGTGTTTTGGGGCCAGAGCGACAGTCCAGAGGGCTGCTGCAGCTACCATGAACTTCACACAGACACAGGATGCCTTGCTGGGGAGAACAGTGTGGTTCCTTGGGGATATTTGCAACACTGGATGTAACTGGTTCCCCAGGGTTGTATGATCCAGAAACACCTGAAGAGAAGGTTTTACTCCGTTGTACCTCCTTTGGAATATTCTTCTTTCGGAAAATTGGTGACCCATCATCTTTGAATTCTTCTAAGTCTCTAAATTTAGCCTGATTCCAGAAAGAAAATGTATTGCAGATCAGCATTTCCTTACTGAAATCCAGCTGTGGAGTCTGTGAAGCGTCATGGTGGCTAATGGGTGTCTGCTGCCTGGGGCTGTGGCAAAATGAGACTTGAGCAGGCACCGTCCATGGAGTCCCTGACTGCTCCAAAAGTGACTCGGCCCTCTGTAAATCTGAGTCACTGTAGCTGAGCTGCCTTTTCAGGTGAGTCAGGGGCTGAAGGCACTCTACATTACGCCTTTTCCAAAGAGGGTCAAACTCTTGTTCACTGGAAAGAATCACATCTTGATTCTTTAAATCTGCCACCACTGCAGTGGGGGTGAAAGAGTCCAACGCATCACTGTCATGCCTCAGTAACTCTTTATCCAGCTGCATCGTGACCATCTCAGAAACAGTTTTTTCGATTTCAGCAGAGAGGCCAGGTACTTCTACCACTTTTGTCACTATGGGCCTGTTCTCAGCTAAGTCCAGCAACAATTTGCATATGAAGTGGACAATTTTTGGCACATGTTTCAGAAGTCGTGCCTCGTATCCATGAAGCAGATGCCGCTGGCGAATCAGATACTGTGTTAAGGTGACAGCATGTGCTTTGGGGTCACAGCAAGAGAATATGTTTCGAAGAGGGATCAGAAACTGAGTAAATTCCCTCACACACAGTAGCTGTCCTCGAGTTTGAATGGAATTAGGTCGCTTTGCCCGAACAAATATAATGGCTTGATCAGCAGTCATTCTTGTTGCAAAAACTAAGTAACAAGCTATTAAAACACCTAAGTCAAGAAGAAGAAAGAACTGGATAAGAAAAGCTCATATATATATCTTTGACAATTTAAATTTGATATTTGTTAGAAAACCATATAAATAGAAAAACACTTTAAGGATAATATAATTTTGTAAACTTTTGCAAAGGTATTTATGTATTTACCTGTCTATATGGCACCACTCACGTTGACTGAGAACACTCAGTGCCCCTTATACTCAGGGGCGAACAAAGAAACTGTCCCAGTGAAGCTAAGTGTGGACGAAGGGAGGATGACTGAATAGGACAGAATAAGGGGAGATGACTGAGTAGTTGTGGAATGAATGAATACTCAGGAATAACTGAGTAAATGTGGCATGGGGAGAGGATGACTGAGTAAGTGCAGAATAAGTGAGGGATGACAGAGCAAAAGTGGAGTAAGGGGGGGGGTGACAAGTGTAGCATGAGGGGGAATGGCTAAGTGTGAAGTGAGGGAGAATGACTAGTGTGGAGAGTGTGAGGAATGACAATAAACACAGAGTAGGTGAGAAATAACTGAGAAGTATGGAGTGATAGGGGATGACTGTGAAGTGAGGAGGCTGACTCAGTAAGTGTGGAGTGAGGGGGATGAGTGAGTAGGTATGGAATAAGGGGCGATCACTGCATCAGTGTGGACTGAGGGGTAACAACTGAATAGTAAGTATGCAGTAAGGGAGGATGACTAAGTGTGAAGGGGAATGGCTGAGTAATTGTGGAGTAAAAGGGGGGATGACCTAGCATGTTTATCTTCCTTATGTCCAATTCCAAAATGGGAGAAGTAAAATCCTGCTTCTCTTTCCCATTTAACAATTTCTGAAAATTTCTATGCAGTGGATTCATACACTGCTCTTGGAACTTCCCACTTCTGCCTTTGCTATCAATTATTGACACTTTCCTGCCTGGCATTCTACCAACTTGGACATTTTTAGATTTTGGAATTATTTATATTCACAAACTTTTTTTTCCTGACAAATTCTTCTTGCAGATTTGTCTTTACACTAATATGTGTTTTTCTCCATACCAGATATAATTATATATTGCTATAAGCACTTAATATTAAGGAAAACAGCCTTTACAGTATAAACATTAGGCATTCTTATTAATTTCAAATTAAAATGAATATTGAAAAAGTAATAATCAATAAGTTAAAACAGTTAATTATTATCAAAATAAAAGGCAATCAAAAGACATTTGTGTGATTCATCAAAGCTGTGAATCTCATTACATATATCAGAATCTCTGAATACTGCATGTTCTTTCAGTATGTGGAAGGTAGGGTCCAACATATCATTTTCACTAAGACAGGGAAAGTCTTTAGTGGAAATATGAAATATCTGCAGACCTATTATTACATGGAATCCTAGAACAGCAAAATTTTGTCTCGACCATGAGAGCTGACGATATTTAGCCGGACTATATCCACATCCTGACAAAGCTCCTGAGCAGGTGGGAAACTCTATGGCAGATATACAGGTACACTGTGGACAGAGTCAGCTAAGGTATCTGGTTGAGCCAAATGGCAATTAAGACTCCAATGCAACAGTCTTTATTTCTACCCTCATATCAGCACGGCACAGAGATTTTCCTGCCTTTTTATCAATGATTTTTATATAGAATTCTAGATACAGATAGACTCTCCTTCACAAACATGTATTCTGACAGCCATGAATGTAAATCTTGGCTCTGCCACTTACTGGAGGTAGCAAATTACTTCTGTGTCTTCAAAACTCACATACTTGCTAAAGACTTAATAAGAGAGCAAGTGTAAATAGAACAGTAGTTGAAACAATGCTTGTTATTTTCTTTATTATTTGGTTATGGAAAATTACATTTTTAAAAACACTGGGTATTAAAAATGTTATTCTTTGTATGTTTAAATATGTTCCAGACAACAAAACTATCTCCTAGAATTTACCTGTTCGACCAAGCCCTGCATGACAATGGATGGCTACTTTTCCTTCTTGTAAGGCAAATGTCATCACCTTCACCATATCTAATATAGTGGTAAGTGATGCTACACCATAATCCTTCCATCCAAAATTGTAGAAATAAACTGGGCAATGGAAAAGAGAACAGGAAAAAAGTCAACATACAAGAAAAATACTTGCAAGGATATTTGAAAAAAGTGAGTGAATTCATAAAGAGTAGAAAGCTGTAAGGCATGCAGATCTCAGTGGAAGCATAGGCCCAGAATAATAGGCTTTTTACATTTCCAAGAAATTTATTGTTAACATTTCTTACAAAGCACATTTCATATTATTTAAGGCATTTCCTACTAAAACTCAGTCAAAAAGAATTATGAAAAAGCAGGATTGCAAATTACTAAAGTCAATAGTCTATACCAAAACATCTTGGCTATAGAGAGAAAGCATATGATCTTGAACCTTAGAAATGCGTCTAAAATGACTGATAAATGGCAGAAGATGGTACATACACATTTTCAACCTAGTGGGGGAAAAAGAACTAGATGTGGCTTCTTGAAAAAAACGTTCCAAAATTGCACAGGTTGATTCTTTCCAGCTTGGTGTAATTCCACCCCAAAGCTCCCATGACTAAGATGCTTCTGGAATTGCCACATAGAGAATCCCGGCATCCTACCCAGGGGCAGAACTGATGTGTCATAGCAAAAGCCACAGAGAGTCCTGGGTTCCAATCCTTTAACATGGTTAAGCTGTGTGACCCTGAGCAAATCAGAACTTGCTAAGTGTGTGTGGTCTCATGTGAAGCAGAAACTACTACGTTACTTAACTGTGTTAAGGATAAAAATGAGACGATAGGTCTGACATACTGTTAATATTCATCAATGCAGGCACTAATCAAATTGTACCCTTATTTCTACATATTCTCTTCCCAAGGTCCCTCTCATAGAGAAAGAAAGCCTGCACTTTCCACAGCAATACCACACACACACACACACACACACACACACACACACACACAAAAGGTAGCATTCCTTAAAGTCAAAGTTAACTCATCTTCATGTTTTAGGAGCCCTACCACCATGCAGTAAGCATTTATTTCCATCACCTTTTAAATCTAAGAGCTCAGCAGACAAAAGGCTCTGAGTACTGCCCTTGATAACTCATGGGTAGGAGTGTGTAAGGACTTACTGCCCGCTTCCATGAAAGCTTCAGGAAGGTACGTGAAACCACTTTCCTGCTCCAGAGGGTTCCCACAGCTGGCATGCTCACCGGGCCGCTGCAGGTTAATGATTGTTTTTAAGCCATGACTCAAAGGAAAAAGAAAAAAGTTAGTCATATCGGCAGCTAGCTAGCACTGTTAAATCACTTTTGGCATTAATAAACAATATTAATTATTCTCAAATTTCCTATTTGAAATAAGCTATTTATATCTATCATTAAAATGAAAATACGCTTCCATCAAAGCCAAAAGCAATGAAGGAGAAAACTTACAGGCTGGCTTACAAAACTGTGTGTGAACAATGTGGCATTTACCTCTGAAACTGCTCAATGATGTGGTACTTCTCAAGGAGTTCAGTGGATGGGCGAGCCATTGCCAGGATGTTATCAGTGACCCTACAGATGAGAGGAGGGACTGGTAAGATACACAAAATCCAGAATGTTCCAGCTCCAAGGACTGAGAGAGCAGTCCACTAGTTTTCCTATAATTTCAATAACTCTGTAAGATAAGAATTCCTATACAAATCTGGCTTCAATTTTGCATTATGATTAAGATTCTAAAATACGCTAGCTGCTTAAATCTCTGGAAAAAGTATTTACAGACTACAACAAAGCATTTTTAAGGACACTCAAGAGATTCTACTGCACATGATAGAGAAAAGTTCAACTGGCAGCAAAGGTGACAGTCTAGGTGAGTTATCCAAAGGTTATTAGTCATTTGAGGACTGACTAGAAGGCATTTCTAGTTCTTGAGCTATCTGCAGTTCAGTATGTGTTAATTGGAATAAAAATACCTGCCTCGTAGGGTTGGTGTTCAAATTTAACATGATGTGGATGCAAAGTCTTTAACAAAAATCCCCACATGTGGTTATAAATAAATGCTGAATTATTGCAATTTAGCAAAAAATAAGAACTTTGAAATTAGTTGGGCCTAGTTTCAAATGCTGGCCTTTCTACTTTCTAGCTGTATAGCACATTACTTAGTTTCTCTGGACCTCAATGCCTATATCAATAAAATGACACTACCAATGCCTACCTTACAAGAGTTTTATGAAGATGAGATAATAATTTGAAAGTGCCTAGCACAGTCCCCGGTCTGTAGCCAAATGCATGTTTACTGAGTGTACAAATAGACTATCCCTTATTAGGGCTCTGACTTCACCTCGTTCTGGTCGAATTTCTCATCAGTATTCTGGTAAAAGGTACGTCAGGCAGTCTATTGAAAGTTGTGGGTCACAACTTGAGAGAAATAACATTAAATGAAGAGGGCAGGATCCAAAAAGATAACAACCCTCTCCCCAGGGCAATGCCTGAAATTCAACAGGGACCCCAAAAGCTTTAGAACCCCCAAATTTAATAGCATTTAATATGAAAAGAGATGTAACATGAAATCAAAACAGGTTAAAGAGACTCAGATGGTTCAGTCAACAATAAATCAAAAATATTTATGTGGTCTTATGCTTCATTATTGGAAACTTACTTGTCAGACCACACCTCAGGAACAGTGTTTGCTTTTTCATAACATTCTTGAAGAAAGACAGTGACCACAGAGGAGAGAAGAGGGAATTTCAGGGGGCAATGGGAAGGGTTCACAGGAACAAATTTAAAGGACACTTGGACAAAAACTAGGGGGAGGGTGGTAATGGGAGGGAAGTGGGGAGGGTTGGGAGGGTGGGCTGGATTGGGAGTAAAAGGGAGAAAACTGTACTTGAACAATGATTAAAATAAAATAAAAAAAATGACAGTGAAAGACCAGAATATGATCTGTGGAGAACAGTGACAGTGGTTCCCCCACCACATCACTACCCATGTAACCAGAAAATCCAACATGAAAAAGTATGGGTTGCAAGTTGAAGTTGTTTGTCGACAAATATCTAAAATGTAAATGAATTCTCGCTATACAAAATGACTCACCACTAGAATTCTTTAAACAGTGATTTCCTCTAAGTGTGTTTCAAATGGGATTTGGTCTGATTATCAAAACTCTTCAGATAGCACCACACCGAAAAGATATACTTGACAGTTTACTAGCAATAATAAAAAGCAGTATGATTCAATGATTCAATTGCACCTACACACCATAAAAAGTGCAAGCATCTTATATTGTCCACTGAACCAACAACTTATTGCACTCCTAGTGAGACAGACTAGAAGAATATGTGTGTGAAAATGGGTCCTTTCACTCAGAGTATAGGACCAAAATTTAAACAAGGCTATGGCTTACCTTTATGAAACTGAAAACTACATATGTACCTCATAATTTCTCAAATTTATAGCTCAACATTTTTAACATTTCTAGCAATTTCTGAAATTTAAAAGCTATTTATCTTGTTATCATTTCCTTAAGATATTTACATACATTATTTCACTTAATTAAAAAAAGACCCTATGGAGTTATTTATATTATTTCCATTTCACAGAGGAGAAAAATGAGGTTCAGAGTACCTGTGTGAGTAGGCCACAGCTTGTCAGGCAGCAAGGCCAGGGATTGGAAGCAAGGTTCCAACTTCAAATCCCCACACTCCCTCTTCCACAGCATCCAGCCACCAGGCACCACAGATATCTTCATTCCCTTTTCCTACACAACTGCAGGTGAGAGCTACCACAGATGACAGAATCACTCACCAGGACGAGTAGATGCCCTTAATGGCCTGCTCCTGCTCACTCCAGCGGGCTGGATTTTCGTACTTGCATGATCTGCCCCCACATGCCATAGAGCAGGCCACATGTCCAGGAATGACATGTCGTAAACGCTCTCCCACTTTTGTATACTTTGGTGTTGGACGTCCTGAATTGCCTAGAATATACAAGGAAGGGATTCAAAATTCCACTCTCCAAACGGAATAGTGACCTGGGGAATAGTTTCCACTTTGTCTCAGGATTGTAGATAAGGAGCTGGTGCTAACTCCCCTTTACTTTGTCAAGATTAAAATCATTAAAACCAAGTGCAGTATCTCTTAATATAGCAAACACTTTCAGACACAATTTCCACATGCCACAGTGGTCACATAGAGGAAGCAACTCTAAAAGCAGATCTTTCATAAGGGAATGAGGTTTGTTCAAAAACTATATTTTTAATATAAAAACAAAACATTCAATCACTTTATCTCCTATTACATAGTCACTAAAACTCTTAGCATAACAGATGATGGTAAAACATATAATATAGAATTGTCAAAATTTAAAAAGATATAAACACAGCCCAGCCTCTTCAAATTCCTTAAATTTAAACTCAAAGGTGTGGCAATCTTTAAGAAGAAAAGGAAGTTTACTTTTTCTCTTGGGGCAAGTTGGGTTTCTCTTGGCACAGCTGATGGAGGACACAGCTAGCATCACCTGGAGAGAAGAAGAGGAGAGCATCTTGGTGACAGAGCCGGGATGCCCCTGCGACAGTCAACAGTCGTAGTCTGATGCCTGAGGCTGAGTGTCAGCAGCCCTGTAAGAAGGAGCTGAGAAAGGGAAGGGTTGAGAGCCGCTGGGGCGAGTCCTGCATGCTGCAGTTGGCCAGGAGAACTGGAGGCCAGGAGATGTCAGCGCCAGCCTGCTCCGTGATGAAGTTACACTGAGATATGAGCATCACTCTGCATGATCTAACAGCCATTCAGGATAGGCTGACTTGTTTCCATAGCGATGAACAAAGAAACTACTGATTCCCACTCAGAGATGTACAGGCCAAGTCCCACAGGAATTGAACTGTGGTTTGGAGAGATTGTTCAACTATGTGGAGGATTAACATGTTTTTTAAATAAATTATTCCTAAATTGTGACTAGTCTATTTTGTTTTTCAAACACATTTAAAAGATCTGACTGCTCAAAAATTACATCTAAAATACTATAATGGATTTAGAAAAATGTCTTTATGATGTAAACACTGTCTTTTACACATACACTAAAAGGTTTCAATTCTTTTATTTCATATCTATTCTCTGAACATGTTGAAAAAAGTTCTTTTCACTACTCTCAGGAACAGGACAGAAAATTAATTGTAATGAAATGGGACATGCAGGATATCTGATAACATTATTAAAACATCATTCCATTTTTCAAAATCAAAAAGTTTTCTGTTTTCTTCATAGAACTATTAAATAGTTGGATAAAACAAATAAAGACATCTTTAGGGCTGATAAATTAATCAGAAAACAGTTTTGTATTTTTATCTTCAGAATGTGAAAACCCAATTCCTGGTAATACCTTTATTGGGTAGTTATAATAGCCAGACTTCTCAAAAACTCAAAATACAATTATATGCATTTTGTCAGTGACGGGAAAAAGAAACTTGAATAATGTCTTGGCAGAAGCATACAAAAGAAAAAAAACAACCTAAAAACAAAAAGCCTCACTAAGCATCACATTTTTTAAAGGAACTGGGTGAGGGGGAGGTTGCAACTTGAGGATAAAGAATATAAAGAGAACAGAAACTCTAACAATCACCAATTGTCCGCCTCCTCCCTGGTTAATGTCAGGCTGTACTGCCCCCTACTCCCACCCCAGCCTTCCTCTTTCTGTCTGCCAGTCTCCAAACTTCTATTTCAGCTGTGTGCATACAGAAACAATCTATTGCCACAGATAGGGCTCTTTTTTATTTTGTCCTGTTTTATTCTAACAATTAATAATGCCTTAAGCAAGCACTTTTTAAAAATGCACCCCCCCACCTCCGGCAATCTCCCCAGCAGGATGCACTCTGTCAAATAAGATAGACAATTTGGTGCTCAAATGCCTACTCACAGTGTAGCACTATGCTGTGATTATTTAGTACACAGCCAACTGAGAGTAACTTTTTCAGGCTTCCAGAGCTTTACAGGAGAGAAAAGAGTAGGTGCAGCATAGAAGGCAAGTTGGAACCTGATGGCAGATGGCCCTAAGTGCTCAAACTAAGGGGTCTGTGCCTGCTACCTGGGGAACAGGGAGTTGGAATCAAGCTGCTGAACAAGTACCCATGCAGTGGTTAATGCTGCCCTACAGAGAGAGAGCTGGAAGTCCAAGACTAGAGACCTACTGGGACACTGACTATAAATGGAGCAAAGCCTGGGTATGAGACAGTACAGGGGTTGATAAATGGCAGCTGGAAGACAGGAGCAGGAGACAGTGCTGGGACTTCCTGCCTAAGTGAGCAAGAGACACTGAAGCTGGTTAACAAGGGAGCTAGTGAGGAGCAGGTGTGTGACAACTAGGCAGGTCAGCTCCATTTGAGATACAAGGCCTGTGAGGTGGCAAACAGGAGGTCTCAGCAGTGAATGGGAGATCCCAATGTCTGCAACTCCAAGGACATCTACAGAGTTGAGTGCAAGTGACTAGAGATATTTAGGGAAGTGGAGCTGAAGCAGCCCTCTTTCTCAGAATGTCCTTGACATCACCCAAGGCTTCTGTGGGTGCTGGGATGAGCCTGAAGCTAGACTGGTGCTGAAACGGAGCACTGCCCAACTATGGGTAGGTGAAGGCAGAGGCCTGTGTTTCCCCTAGACACAACAGAACTGTCGCCCCACCATCTCATGCTTCAGACTGTTCCTTGGCAAAATGCCCAATACACAGTCAAATCCATTTTTGGAAACTAGTTTTAATATATACCAAATGGCTTTACAATAGGGAAGTGCATCATAAGTCCCACCCATAACACTCTAGACCCGTATCCCCCCAGTCTTTGTCCATGTGGATTTTCTGCATACATATAATCATATTGTAAATACACATTTTGCTTTAGTCTCATTAATGAAAGGACAATAGTTATGACATATCAAACTAATCATTCCTTAGTTGTTAGATATTAATGTTATTATAAACATTATTTTATTTAAAATAATTTTAAATAAACATTATTTTATTTAAAAAGAGGGCAGACATTTTCAGGACTAGAACCTTTTTTGATTCTGTGCTTCTCATTTACTAAATTTCTGGGGATGATATGACTGCTAAGCAAAATTAATTTTGAAGGTTTGTATTTTTATTTACATATTTCAACAACCAAGGATGAATACACTGAAAAAGGTAAGTAATATTTTTAGCAACTCAACATAGGTTTCTTTCTGAGGTCAGAGAGAAATACAGCATGAAAATATGGATCAAGAGATGCTGTCTCTGACAGGGTTTTGTGCCAAGCTTCTTTTTTTTTTCAGAATTAATACTTTATTATTTTTTAAAATTTTAATTGCTGTTCAAGTACAGTTTTCTGTATTTTACTCGCATCCCAGCCCATCCCTCCAGTTCTCCCCACCTCCCTCCTATTTCCACCCCCTCTAGTTTTTGCCCATGTGTCCTTCGTACTTGTTCCTGTAAACCCTTCCCCTTTTCCCCTGAAATTCCCCTGAAATTCCCTCTCCTCTCCCCTCTGAACACTGTCAGTCTGTTCTCTATTTCAGTGTCTTTGGTTATATTTTGCTTGTTTGTTTGTTTTGTTGTTTAGGTTCCTGTTAAAGGTGAGATCATATGGTATTTGTCTTTCACTGCCTGGCTTATTTCACTTAGCATAATGGTTTCCAGTTCCATCCATGCTGTCACAAAGGATAAGAGCTTCTTCTTTCTTTCTGCTGCATAGAATTCCATTGAGTAAATGTACCACAGTTTTTTTATCCATTCATTTACTGATGAGCACCTAAGTTGATTCCAGCACTTAGCTATTGTAAATTGTGCTGCTATGAACATTGGGGTGCATAGGTTCTCTTGGATTGGTGTTTCAGGGTTCTCAGGATAAAATCCTAGCAGTGGAACTGCTGGGTCAAAACCAGATCCATTTTAGTTTTCTGAAGAAATTCTATAGTGATTTCCATAGTGGCTGTACCAGTCTGCAGTCCCACCAACAGTGCACTAGGGTCCCCTTTTCTCCACAACCTCTCCAACACTTGTAGTTTGTTGCTTTGTTTATGATGACCATTCTGACCAGTGTGAAGTGGTATCTCACTGTGGTTTTAATTTGCATCTCTCTGTTAGCTAGCCATACTGAGCATCTTTTCATGTGTCTCTGGATCCTCTGCATGTCCTCAGAGAAGTATCTGTTCAAGTCATTTGCCCATTTTGTAATTGGGTTGTTTGTCTTCTTAGAGTGGAGTCGTGTAAGTTCTTCGGGTATTTTGGAGGTTAAACCCTTGTCTGAGGAATCATTGGCAAATATGTTTTCTCATACAGTTGGTTCTTTTTTTATTTTAATACTGTTTTGTTTATCCATGAAGCAGCTTTTTATTTTGATGAGATCCCACTTGTTTATTCTTTCCTTTATGTCCCTTGCTCTAGGGGACATATAAGTGAAAATGTTGCTGCATGAAATATCTGAGATTTTCCTGCCTGCGTTCTCCTCTAGGACTTTAATGGTGTCACTGCTTATATTTAAATCTTTTATCCACCTTGAATTTATTTTTGTGTATGGTGTAAGTTGGTGCTCGAGTTTCATTTTTTCACATGTAGCTGTCCAACTTTGCCAACACCATTTTTTGAAGAGGCTATTTTTACTCCATTTTATGTTGCTGCCCCCTTTGTCAAATATTACTTGACCATAGGGATTTGGGTTTATTTCTAGGCTCTCCATTCTGTTCCATTGGTCCATGTGCCTGTTTTTATGCCAGTACCAGGCTGTTTTGATTACAGTGGCTTTGTAATACAGTTTGGTATCAAGTATTGTGATCACTCCTACTTTGCTTTTCTTTCTCAAAATTGTAGCAGCTATTCAGGATGGTTTCTGTTTCCATATAAATTTTTGAGGTGTTTGTTCTATGCCTGTGAAATATGCATTTGCTACTTTAATAGGTATTGCATTGAATGTGTAAATTGCTTTGGGTAGTATGGACATTTTGATGATGTTAATTCTTCCAATCCATGCACACTGTATATGTTTCCATTTGTTTGTGTCTTCCTTGATTCAGTGTTGTGTAGTTTTCTGAGTATAGGTCTTTTACCCTCTTGGTTAGGTTTATTCCTAGGTATTTTATTTTTCTTGTTTCTATATCAAATGGGATTTTTTCCCTGATTTCTGCTTCTGTGTTTCACTGTTGGTGTACAAAAATGCCTTTGATTTATGGATATTGACTTTGTATCCTGCTGTTTTGCCAAATTCATTTATTAGGTTGAGTAGTTTTTTGGCAGAGTATATAGGATATTCTGTGTACACTATCATGTCATCAGGAAATAATGACAGTTTTGTTTACTCCTTTCCAATTTGGATGCATTTTATTTCCTTTTCTTGTCTGATTGTTGTGGCTAAAGCTTCCAATAGTATGTTGAATAGAAGTAGTGAAAGTGGACAACCTTGTCTTCTTCCTAATCTTAGTGGAAAAGATTTTACTTTTTGCCCATTGAGTATGATGTTGGCTGTAGGTTTCTCATATATGGGTTTTATTATGTTGAGTAATACT